CAGTTTCACATTTGTTTCTATGCTCCATCTATTTTTCTTTTTTTTTTTTAAAGATTTTATTTATTCATTTGAGACAGAGATAGAGAGCATGAGCAGGGGGAGAGGGAGAAGCTGGCTTCCCGCTGAGCCAGGAGCCTGATGTGGGGCTCGATCCCAGGACCCTAGGATCATGACCTGAGCCGAAGGCAGATGCTTAACCATCTGAGCCATGCAGGCACCCCTCTTTTTCTTTTTTTTAAGGTTTTTATTTAAATTCCAGTTAGTTAACATAAAGTGTTATATTAGTTTCAGGTGTACAGTATAGTGATTCAGCACTTCTATACATCACAGGTGCTCATCACAGTAATTGCACTCCTTATTCCTCATCACCTGTTAAACATCCCCACACCCATCTCCCCTCTGGTGACCGTCAGTGTGTTTTCTATAGTTAAGAGTCTGTTTTGTTGGTTTACCTCTCTCTTTTTTTCCTTTGCTCATTTATTTTGTTTCTTAAATTCCACATATGAGTGAAATCATATGGTATTTGTTTTCTCTGATTGACTTATTTCACTTAGTATTATGCTCTCTCTAGCTCCATCCATGTTGCTAGAGATGGCAAGATTTCATTCCTCTTTATGACTGAGTAATATTCCATTGTGTAAATACACCACATCTTCTTTATCCATTCATTAGTTGGTGGACACATGGGCTGTTTCCATAATTTGGCTATTATAGATAATGCTCCTGTGAACATTGGGGTACATGTATCCCTTTGAATTAGTGTTTTTGTATTCTTTGGGTAAATAACTAGTAGTGTAATTACTGGGCTGTAGGGTAGTTCTGTTTTAACTTTTTGAGGAAGTCCATACTGTAAAAACAGAATTTTTCTAATTATTTTTTTAATCAAAATCTTTATTGAGATAGTTGTAAATTCACATGCAATTGTAAGAAGTAATACACAGAGTTCATATAGTCTTTATTCAGTTTCCCCCAATGGTAACATTTTACAAAACTATAGTATAATATCACAATCAGAATATTGACATTTATAAAATCTGTTGAACTTGTTCAAATTTCTCCAGGTGTACTTATACTCATTTGTGCATGCGTGTGTGTGTGTGTGTGATTTGATTTTATACGTTTACATCATGTGTAGGTTTATGTATCTTGCACTGCAGCCTTACAACTGTTTTGTAAAGTGCAGGAAATGCTAGAGTTAGAAAGGACTGAAAGTCTCTGGCCATGTTCCACACTGAAGATTACATGGTATTAAATGATTAGAACTAGTATTTGTCCTCTAAACATTTATTTATTTTTTAAATTAATTTTCTTTAACATGTTGTAAACATTTTGAGTGCAGTAGTCACTTTGTGTTTTGTTGTACCTTTACCCACACCACAGCCCAGAGCTTACTTTGGTGCTCTGTGCAGAGATGTTCAATTACTGTTTAAAATACAAATACATGTTGTTAAATAGAATTAAAAAGTAGAAATGTCTTAGGTATTTTCTCTGCTTTTGAACTGAGACTAGTATTTTTCAAAGCTCATATCCTATTATGTTCCCTTGCACATATGTTCTGCTACCTGAAAGTACTTTATAGATGTTTGATCTTGTGAAGGCAGTGTTGTTACCTTTGATAAAAAAGTAATTAGGTGAGCATTTCTGGTAAAGGTAATCATCAAAGTCTGAAAGTACACATTTCCTTTTAACTATTGTAGTTGGAGGTATGCCTCCTCCCCGCCATGTATCTCTCTTCTCTAGAAACCTGTGAGAGACAGCTTTTTGAACTTATATCTGTTAGAGCCAGCATTGAAAAAAAAATCCAGCTTTTCTCTAATGGACCATGATCCTAGGTAACAAAATTATGGTAGTTGTGTCATGGGTTTTATTTGGTGTCTTATATTCTCTCTGAAAAAATAAAATGCCCAGCAGTGATTCACAAATTCTTTGGGGAATAAACACAAGTAAGATGTCTACATTTTCTTATAATTAGGGATACTATTAGGAAAATAAAAAATATATCTTCTTTTCTCTCCTTTGAGATTTCAAATTACATGTTTTCTGCCTATCTTGTGAAGTTTTTTAAATCTTGCCAAGTGCCTGGCTGTGTGTACTAGATCAGATGAAAAGAGAACACCCAGTGAGGGGTTGAGGGAGTGAACACCGGTGCTGAGTGGGCAGCTTTGACTGAGGCAAGTGGTTACTCTATCTGATGACCCTGGTCTTTTTCAATTGCCTGTTTAGGTTTCTGCCCGTGTTTGCTTAGTACTGTTAGAACTTGTTGGGTGCACATGGCTTGGCACAGTATAGCTGAAGCTGAGTGGGTTTCTGAGCCCAGAGAAGTCATGATGTATATAAATCCTATATGGTATGAAACTATACAGATGGCACACATCAAAAGTTTTAGGCAGAAAGACCCTGGGACATCATGTTTTAACATATATGTGTATTTGTACATACATGCAATTTATATACATATGTAGTTATCTTTTTAAAGATCTTACTTAGAGCACAAGCAGGGGGAGTGGCAGAGGGCGAGGGAGAAGCAGGCTCCCCACTGAGCAGGGAGACCGACGTGGGGCTCGATCCCAGGACCCTGAGATCATGACCTGAGCTGAAAGCAGATGTTTAACTGACTGAGCCACCCAGGCACCCCCATACATATGTAGTTAATATTAAATTTTCTTATATATGGGGAGATTGAGGCATAGAGAGATTTCTGCAGCTAGGGTGCCACAGCTAGATAGTGGCAGAGATTATTTCCATCCAATCCTTTGGACTTTGCTTTAAAAATCTGTTTACAGAGCATCATATTTACTTGAAAATTTGATAAGTTTGGTGATCAAGGGATATGCCTTCTTCAAGATGCTCTGGCATTAGCTCTTGAAATTTAGAGAAGAGTTTTTAAGAAGTGGCTTGAAGCTTAAAAAGAGGAGAAATGTGTAAGTAATCTATTATTGCATAATAGATACAAAAAAACCTTTTTGGATGCTTTTTTTGAGTTACTGCAGGATGATAGCAAAGGCGAAGAAGTGGCTTTTGAATTAATTCGGTTGAGTGAATTTCTTGACTTGTCCTGCTTGCCCAGTCCATTGTTGTGGGGCTCACAGAGAAGTTCTGTTAACTTGTCAACAGCATTCAAAACAGTGGTAGCAACAATGAAAACATATTTACTGAAGATAGCCAGTTGGTCACATTTCTTAACCCCCTCATGAATCAACCATCCTCTGCATTTCGACTCTTAACTCTTTAGAAGATAGAAAAAAAGACCATGTACTGGGACAGAAGAATGATGGCAAATTCAGAAAGGAAATTTGAACAGTGTTTTAGAATTCGTGGGGATGGGGAAGATGAGGGAGGGCAGGGGAGAAACTGACAGGGAAGAGTAGAAGGCAACGAATGATGAACTGATGTTGGCCCTTACACCAAATTAATCTTGCTCTTTTACCTTTTTTTCCCCCCACTCTTGCTGGACCTTGTATTTTTTCACACTCTTATCATAAGGAGGAGGCAAAAAACCACAAGGCAGGAAACTGTCAAGAAAACAAGTTCTGGTGTCTTTTCTGTGGGCGTCACCCATCAACTTTCATTTTCCCACTAGTTATAGCTATAGTTCCATGATTGTTGTTCAGAGTGAAAAAGGTTACATTTCTCTTTAAGAAGGTAGGGGCAATGGTAATATATCTTAGAACATTTTACATTAAAAAGAATCGAGAATGCAAGTTTGGGGAAAACTCCAGATTCTAAAATGCTTACATACTAGGAAAGGGTGGTTACTCCTTCCTAACTTTGTCCCAGAGAGCCCAGAAAAACAGGTATTGTTATCACATTTTCTATGTATACCTTTCCTGGGTTAGGCTTGCATGTACAGTCTTCCATTTTCCTGTTTGAATAAGTGTCTTCTCTTTAACTTGAAACAGGACCCAGCAGGATATTAAGTGATGTATGTATGTAAACTTCATTAGTCCCACTTAAAAAAATTCCTTTGTCTGCTATTCTTTAATCTTATCAACTAATATTAAAAAGCTTCATGATCTGTTTTGTACATTTATCAATTGTTGCCTTTGGCCAACATTAAATTAATATGGGTAATACTTTCTTCTGATATTATATTATTTTGTATCAGTAGAAAATGTTAAATGTCACTACTGAAAAGGAACATTCACAAAACCTTATTTTTTGAACATTTAGGCTAAAGCAACTCTTAAAGTTGTAAGTGTGTTAAAAAAAAAAACTTTAGAGATGTCACCATACCCTTGGGGTGGGCCCCATGCCCTCTCCTGCTCCTTCAATGCCTCATTCACGTATCAAACATGACCAGAAATGAAGCTATGTCTTCCCATTCTTCTTGACATAGTCATTTGCTAAGGATAAAAACAGTGCAGCAGATGCTTGTAATCATTTCAGACTTTTCAACTTGTCTGGGACATCATGCTGTCTGACGTCGTTCATTACTCCACATGAGAAAGGCACAAATAACCGCAAAGCAGGAATTTTAAGAAGCCATAAGGAATTGGGGCTGAATATAGTGTGCTTTGATTATAGAGGCAAAAATGGCTACTTTTATGATGTAGGGGTGATCAAAGGTACATTTTCCATGCGTAATCAGATGGTTGGTAAATACTTTCTCACAGCAAAAATATATGAGCAATGACAATTGCTAGCCTCATGTTAGTCAGAAAAGCATAAATTATATCATTTTATAATGATGGTTTGTTTTGTTTATCTATTTCACTTATGTACTTATATTTGTCATTTGGTAGTCTTTCTACCTGTTCAGTCTCATTAGGACTTAAGGATCAGGAGATTTACATGTTTTAAAAGGATTTCTTTTTTACTGTTACTGCAGGAGGACTAAAGGAGAGGAAAAAAAGGAGTGACCAACGTATGAGTGTTAGTAGTGTCCACCCAGCAGTTTATTGGAACAGTTGAGTAATATGTAATTAATCGGTGACATTAAGAACAGTTATAGAAAGAATAACTTCTTCTAACCTTTTTTTTTTTTTTTTTTTTTTTTTAAGATTTGTAGCCAAACCATGTGCCATAGCCCTCAACATTCAGGCCAATGGACCACAAATTGCCCAGCCAAATGCCATTCTGGAAAAGGTCTTCACTGCAATTACGAAGGTATGATTGTCCTTTTGTACAGTATGAATTATTATGACTCCCATTCTCCATCTGAAATTATTTAATCCCTTCTCTTCTTCTGGGTTTGAGAACTAATTGCCCAGCCTCATGTTGGAAAGAAGCTGGGTAGAAGCTGAATAAAAGCGGGCATGTTTGAGACCTCTTTGTTTACTCTCACATTGATTTTAGAAGCTTGTCTGTAAAGAACAGTCTAGATTAGATAGTGATTAGTCTAATTCTGTGCCTCTTTTATTCTCCCGTGACATGAAGCAGTACATATAACAGTTGGATGGGATCTTGTGGAGATGATTGGGTAGAGCTGAGGAATATAATGAATGTATGGGCATACCTTGGAGATATCGTGGGTCTGGTCTGAGACCCCTGCAATAAAGCAAATACCACAATAAGGCGAGTCAAATGAATTTTTTGGTTTCCCAGTGCATATAAAAGTCATGTTTACACTGTATGCTAAGTAGGCAATAGTATTGTGTCGAAAAAAACGATGTAGATACCTTAATTAAAAAATACTTTATTGCTAAAAAATGCCAACCATCATCTGAGCTTTCAGCAAGTTGTAATCTTTTTGCTGGTGCAAGTTCTTGTCTCCATGTTGATGGCTGCTGACTGATTAGGGTGGTGGTTGCTGAAGTTTGGGGTGATTGTAGCAACTTCTTAAAATAAGACAGTAAGGAAGTTTGCTGCATTGATTGACTCTTCCTTTCATGAACAATGTCTCTGTAGCATGGGTAGCATGTGTAGCAATGCCATTTGATAGCATTTTATCCACAGTTGAAATTCTTTCAAAATTGGGAGTCAGTCCTCTCAGGCCCCACCACTGCTTTATCAACTCAGTTTATGTAATACTCTAAATATTTTCTTGTCGTTTCAACAATCTTCACAGCATCTTCACCAGCAAGAGATTCTATCTCAGGAAACCACTTTCTTTGTTCATTCATAAGAAGCAACTTCTCTCATCCATTGAAGTTTTGTCAAGAGATTGCTGCAATTCAAAAATAATACTAATGAAAAGGTTTGAAATATTGCAAGAATTACCAAACCATGAGGCAGAAACATGAAGTGAGCCAGTGCTATTTAAAAAAAAAAAAAAAGTCCCAATAGACTTGTTCAATGCAGGGTTGCCACAGACCTTCAATATGTGAAAAATGCAGTGATCTGCAAAGCACAATAAACGAAGTGCAGTGAGACGAAGTATGCCAGCGTGTGTGAGAAAAAGTGCCCATCGCCTTCTAGCATTTTCCTTGTCCTTGTGAACACAAGTTAGTTATGATACATAGGCAAATGTAAACAAGAGGGAATAACTGAAGGACAGAAGAGTTGTAACATGAAAGATTGAAGGACAAGGGTCTGGAGAGTTCTAAGTTACAGATTCACTATAGAGAAAGTAGGAGAAGAGATCATCGCTGTGGTGAGTTAAAGTCCAAACTAAGAGCAGGGGGAGCAGAGCAGGGCAGGGGGAAGATTGGAGCCCCTCAGCTGATAGCACCTTAAGAACAAAGAAGGGAGGAGAAAGAAAGAAGCCACAAACCCTCCATCTAAGGTCATGAGAAAAGGAAGCACATCACAGTGCCCAAGTATCTTCTTACTTGTATCTCTATCTTACTCTGGCATAGACGAGAAAGAAGACCGGGCGAAGTGTAACATTCTAGGGGAAGTGTTGTGTGTTTGTATATTAAATGGTTCATTTTTCCTTTTTCATTTTTCTGGGAAAATTACTCAGGCTTCTAAAATGTGATTTGACAGCGTTAAGCAAGTTTTTCCTATTTTGGTATTTGTATTGTTAAGCATTGGTATTACTTGTCTCTTGTCTGAAAACTATTAATTCAAATATTCAAACATTTTTGTGTATTTTATGGTCTTTACTTCTGCCAAGATTCTCTAGAATTTTCTCCTCTATCCTTTTAAAAATGATATTTTTCCTGGAGAAGTAGAAGAAAGCAGTAGGTGTTTTTTATATCTCTGCTAGGAAGAAGAGAAGAATGTATGAGATTTTTCAAAAACTCTCCTTCTGGTAGTTTTATGGGCTGATTTTAGATTGCCAGCTTCTAACCTGAAGGGGCACATACCTTATGGTACTTGAAGAAAATATTAAGGAAACACTTGTATTTTCATTTAACATATCAATTTACTGCAGGAGACACTGCTTTCCCTCTGAAAGAAGCAGAAGTGTAGGAAGTTACCAGGTTTTTAAAAATGAGATTATAATATATTTGTATTCACTTTGTGAACTATTCTAAATGAATAATAAAATGAGTTTTCTACCCAAATGTTATGTATCCTTTCAGAAATTCTGCAGTGGATATTTTATTCCCTTGCCTTATGTTTATTATGGTTACTGGAGAAACTTTCTCTATTAAGGTAATAAAAGGATTTTGCAGTCAGGTTGACTGCTCTAGAGAATATTTGCTTCTAGCTAATTTTAATCATACTCTCTTAGTTTCCAAGGTGATTCTGTTGGACATTTTTACATGATTAGAGCAGAAACCTCATGTTTTAAACATAAATACAGCAAAAGTTGGAACAGTTTTTCCCTGAATTCTTTATAGTTGTCCAGTGTTATTTATGATATGAGAAAGTAACAGGTCAGTTGACCAGAATAGAAGTAGCGGCACTTGGAGAGTCTCAGCAGTGTTTGTGTGTGTTTGAGTGATCATCCACCAACCTGGCCTTGACCATGATTCCAGGTCACCCCTGGAGAAGGGCTTGGTTATCATCTTTCAAATGTGTAGGGATGCACTCTCAAAACCCTTAAAATCAGCTCTGTATAGGACTGGCTACGTAATTTGTCGGGCCAATGCAGAATGAAAATGAGGGGTCTCTTTTTCAAGAAGTATGAAAAAATATCATTCAAGGCATAAAAATAAAAAGCTTCTTCTTTTCTTTCATAGGTTCTTTTCAATGTATTTTTTATTTGCTATTTAATGGTCATGCTCTCTCAGGCGTGGGGATACTCATGAGACAAGTACAGAGCCTCACAGGTACCTGGGGGCCCAACCCTCTGACTTAGTGCACACAGAGCCTTCATGCCTGCCCTTCTCTGGCCAGGGGTGGAGAAATTGAGACAGGCTTCTCCCCTTTCTGTGGGCCTACTACCCCAACCCACAGTGGACAGGTAACTTCCAAGTGTATCACAGTCTCTACACCAGGACATACTTGGTACCTGGATTGGTGTGAGCAAGAGGCTCATCCCTGTTGGTTCACCCCCCAAATGCATGGGGGCACTGCCAGCCTAGGGTGTAGGTGGCTGCCTCTACGTCCCACACTGACATACTGTGGGGTATGCACACCCAGCTCTAGCCCTTTCCATGCTTTCACCTGAGGCAGCAATAATCCCTAGGCAGAGTGGGGAGGGGGAGGAAGCCTGGGGAGCTTGGGGAGCTTGGGGAGCCAGGGAACAGAGAAATAAGTTCCCTAGAACTTGTCTGGGAGAAGTGGTAGGACTGTGTGTGAGTTAAGACTGAGCCCTGACACAAGTTCCTCTGTCCACTGGACTTCATACACAAAATACCAATTCCCTTAAGAATTTTGAGATGGTAGCCATAGAACTTGAAACCCCAAGTGTGGGTCTTTCTGAATATGGATCTCTTTGTGACTGCCCTGGACACATGCCGTGACTGTGTAGTTCTCACCTAATTATCTGATGAATTTGAACCCCTTGGTGTTCTTTAACAATCTTTCCTTCTGGGGTAAACATCTGTTTGTTTCTCTGTATATCTGGTATAAATAAATGTGTGTGTGTATAGTTGTTTATATTTATTTATTTACAATGTGGGGATTCTTGTGCTGTATTATTGGTACATAATCTATAATCCCAACAGTTTCACTTTTCTAATGAAATCAATTCTTGAGCCACGAGGGAAAATATATATGTCAGCTGTGAAACCGGGTTTTATAATCCAGAGAAATCATTTCATCATCCACTTTTGATATGTTAACCGTATTTCAGAAATTAAAGGCAAATTTCCTATAATATGTTCTCCCTTATTCTCCTCTTATGCCTGTCTCTTTCTTTCCTTTTTACTTTCCTTTTCCCTTCCAGTATCAGTTATGAATATTAAAATCAACTTAGGTATTTCTGGAATAAAAATGTCTATATAAGTCAGCATTGTTCATTTCTTTCCTTGGAAATCTTTTTTTTTAATTTATTTATTTTAGAGAGAAGCGGGGAGAGACAGAGAGTGCAAATGGGGGGAGTGGCGGAGGGGCGAGAGCGAGTCCTCAAGCAGACTCCCCGCTGAGGGCAGAACCAGACATGGGGCTCAGTCGCAGGACCCTGAGATCATGAACCCAGCTGAAATCAAGAGTCAGGCACTTAACTGACTGAGCCACCTAGGCATTCCCCTTGGAAATCTTAAGAAAAAAACTAAGGAAAATAATTAAAAATGCAAGGCAATTAAAAAACACAAAAAAGAAGGAAAATTTCCCAAACTTTATTTTTGGCAAACTAGTTCAAAATATATATAAAAGCTAACAAAAAACAATTGGGAACCGGTTGGGCAGAAGCCAAGTAGGAAGAAGTGAAGAGCATGAAGTGTGAATGGAGAGCCCCATGGCGGTAGCTGTCAGGAAAGCCAGCAAAAAGACAGCTCTTGAATATGAGGGAGACAAAAGCTTTAACCACTGTTTGCAACACTAGGTACAGGAGCAAGGCTAGCAGATGCTTCCTGGACTCAGTTTAATTCAGATAATTGGAATAAGTACACAGAAAACTATATGGATGGCACATTTGCAGGAGACAGTCTACCTCTATGGCAGCTGAACTGCAAGAGCCCTCTCCCTGCTCCTCAAACTACCAGGAGCCGGTCAAAGAAACCCAATTCATTCAATGATGAGTAATAAGGAACACACACAGCATCAAAGACAAGAAAAAACAATGTGGTAGCAATGCTCATTAATAAAAATTGTCACTAAAAAAATGAGGCCATGGGGCGAATGAAAATTGTGATGAAATATTTTACCATAAATTAAAAAAAAAAAAATAG